CCAACAAGGGCTTGGTGAGCATCAGTGATGTTTGGTAGGGTTTGAGGCTTAAGCTCATCTCCGCCAGTGACATCCTGGCCTGAAGGTTGTCCAGATAAACCCCCAGCACTCGAGGCTGACTACGTACAGCCTCTCCGTCTTCCTGGTGGAGGAAGATTTCGAAATCGCGCACATTCAGGAGCTCTGGGTGTGGAACACCGAGGTTGTTTGTCTTTGCCCAAGAAAAAAGTTTACGGAGAAAAACCCCCGATAAGTGGCACTGGAATCGATTAAGTAATAACAATCTTATTCATAGTCCGATTTCGGAGGACGATAAGCATCTCTGCGTTGCATGTGTTTGAGGGGGCCTCCGGATATTTTAAGCTCCCAATTTTACCTCCCAGGTGGAGCTGGAGTCGAGTTATTACTAAACATTTTATTATGATCGGTATCGTAAAGGGATTTCCAGTGAATAAAATTTGCCAGCCAAGTGGATCAGGAGTCGAGCTATCTCTAAAAAATCATATTTAAATATGATGCGATTTGGCTCATATTTGGGATGCGTATTGGTAATGGTAAAGGCAATACTATTAAAAAAGGGTTACCTTTGGAGTCGAGTTATTACTAAAAACCGTTAAGTGAGAAAAAGTGACGTGGTGGTCGTCCGATTGCATCGACCTGCTGCACCACTGAGTATGTCGAACTCCCGTGTGTCTCGACTCTCTCAATGGATGTGATTTTCCAAAATTACTATGCGTTAAAGGTCCAGGATTGAGTTCTTCATAAGCATTGCGCTCCTTGATAAGACATTTACATATATACATAAGTATAATTACTTTTGCCTTTGTATCGTACTCTACTATTTTCATGCGGTTTTTTTTATGCTTATATACATATATGCAAAATAGATGTCATTCATTGAGCTCGACTTTCAACAGCAATTCGAGAATGCATATTAGCATCATTATCATCAACAGCACTCTCTCTGGCATCATCAGCAATAATGCAGCAAAAGTGTGGAGCAAAAAGTGCCTCCGGTATATATTGGTTTTAATTCTTTCACTATACTCATTTTCAATATATAACTACGCTGACTTTCTTTAATGTGGTTATGTATGTATGTATGCATGTATGCATGATGAGTGTGCATCATAACCATAACAGAATATTGCACTATTTACCGAGCAGCATGCTGGTGCGATAGGGGTATTTGCTTCATTTGCTGTTTGCCTCATTGCCTCTGCTGCCATTTGAAGAGAAGAAGAGCCTAGGAAAAGGATGTACATACGTATGTATGTACATGAGTATGTAGGTATGTAGATAATTTCTATTCTACATCGGTTCGTACATGCATTCCCTAGTCAGTTCGTCTCAGCTCCTTTCACTTACTGTAAATATACTCGTTGTTTGCCACTGAAAGCTGCACTAAAGCACCGCAGCAACTAAAGTTTTTTTTTTTTTGTTGAGTATTTATATATTTGTTTTTGTCTCTACATACATAGTATATTACATTTACATTTTATTTTATTTGAGTTTGTTGCCCTATTTGATAGTAGTTTTTTGCACCATTTGCTCTGTTTAACTTATGCTCTTCAACTCATCATGAACCATATTTACTTGTACAGAAAAGCGGTCGTACTTATTTTAATTCATTGTAGAATATGTTTACACGTATTTATACATACATATTAACACATATTTACTATCTTGCTGTTAAGTACTCGCCGTAGTAAAACTTCTTATTCACGCTCGTACATATGTCGTACTTTTTTTGTAAGTATTTTTAAATTTTGTTTTAAATTTCCTTTTGTCCTGCTCTTTCTTGCATTGCAGCTCTTTTAGCGTACTCTGTGCTTAGTCTGCTGAATTTTTTTGCGTACTCTTATTGGCATTCGTTGTGGTGTGTGGCGTAGAAATTGTTCTTGGTTTTGTAATGGCTCAGCGGAATTTTTTAATAAAACACCTAGTTTGCGGTTTCGTAGTCAATGAAGCTAATCAGTTGAAATGACATTTCGATGCAGACAGCTTTCTTTTTTTTTTTTAAGTGATTATCAGTCTGTGCCGCCACCAGCGTTTGATATCGGAAAATTTCTTTTCATACATAATTTATGAAGACATTAAATTTTACCACCTTAAGTAATAAAGTTAAAAAATTACAGGCTGTACAAATACATACGCTACTTATGTATGTATATACCTATATGTTTTGAGTTATATAAAAATGATTTTTGGGTAAATTTTTGAAAAAATAAAAATTATTTGAAACCAAGTACATTTTTGCCATTATTGTTTATGACGTTTTACCAATTCTCGGGCGTAGAACTTCTGTGGGCTATCGACTTATTGGCCAAGTGATTTTCAGCGGCTCTTCAGTCGGCCAATTCTTTATCAGCAATGGAGTTTTGTATCGGAATCGAGCAAAGCACTCCTGGGTCCGCCGTTCACTCAAAGCATTCCCACAGCACACCTCACAAATTCTTAGGTATGTCTTTATTCTATAAACAAAGGCATTTCACACAATTTCAAATCAATATAACTTTTTGCACGAGCGACGAATCACAGAACAGTTTTCTCTAAAAATTTGGCCTGAAATTTCGCCTTTCAAACGCTTTCAATGGTCAAAGCCGCTTTCGACTTAGGAAGAAGCTTACATTTGTTAGGCAACTCGAGAGTAGCGTCAGTGGAGTACTTTCGACCACTTCTAAAATAATTCTTAGAGCTTTGCTTAGTATTGTTTATTAATGTCAATTTTTTGCTGAAGGTAAATTTGCTGCAGCTCGTTCTGAAAAGAAGAAGTATTAGTCAATTACGGACACGGCAGAACTGCATGAAAGGATCGGTGGAGGTCTTATGTTGTATGAGAGTATGGAAGCACCATTGACTAATTGTTGAATACTCTGCGCCAGAAGTCAGCTGGAAAGGCTTTTGCTCAAAACAAAATTTCAAGTTTTTCCCTAAAATACACTTTCTCCAAGGGTGTTCCCATCCTTTCCCACAGCCGTAGACGATGAGAGTAATCTCTGAGGCTCAGTACCGATAATGTTAGTAGTCACAAGTTACTTTATTACTTTCCGACATGTTTAAACACATTGTCACACTTTGAGCTCGTTAAGATTTAAAAATCTTGGTTTGTAATTTTTAAGTAACTTGTGAAAAGCTGTGGATCAGATCTGCGAAACTTCCTTAATACGGGATAATTTAATTAAAAAACAATTTTTTTCCTGTCAATTTCCTTATTAAAGTCAAATAAAATAATAATTTTTCACTTAAATTGCTTATATGAAACTGGCTATAAGTAACTGAAACAGTTTGATTTTATTGATATGTTGTTATGATATGTTAACACTTTCATTTTAAATCACACTTTGATTTAATTATTCAGCACCAATCCGCCAGGTCGTATACGTAAAGTGCGTACCATCGAATTTTAGCAGCAAGAATCGCAAATCCTTACCTTAACAGCTTTCGTTAAGCTTAGTATGTACATATGTATGTCGCCCAAAATCTCTCTGTGGCAGAATTTCTCGCTCGCAAAAATAAAAATTTTAAATTATAATTTTTTTTTTGTTACTATTTAAATTTTAGTACAAAAGTAAGTGCAAGTTTTAAGTAGCTAGGACTTCCCGTTGATTTTTGACATTTTTTTTTTTTTTGTTGACGGTGTCAGTTTTCTTCCATACAAAGTGTGTTCGACGATTGGATTTTACTGCCGCAGGTAGATTATCGCTAAACTGGTAAACTCGTATCAAAAGTGGTACACTACTTTTATGTTAATATAAATTTTAGACATCAAGACAGCTGTTTTATTCTTATTTACATATAAGAATCATTTCGTATAAAAACGTCTGAAAATAAAAAAAAATCGTCGCTAACGGATTTCTAATTTTTCTGTAACTTTGAGGGACAAACTACAGATTTCGTAAGTTTCATATTTATATCTAGTTCATTTCGGAACTTCTGTTCCTTGGGACCCTAAAGAAGAGTCCCTCTAAGTTACAGTAAAATCTAAAATCGGTCTGCGACTCCAATTAGACGATTTCATATGGAAAGACCCATAAGTAAATATTTAAAGAAAAAAATAAAAAATTCTATGTAATATATATATTTTTTTAAATAAACAGCTGAGCTAAACATTCTTCTGTTATTAAAGTGCCTAGAAATTATAATGTTTTTCGAAGACGCTTCCGCGCTAGGAGAACAGCCTGCATAATATGTGCCGTTGAATAGTAGATGGGGGAAATAAAGTCAACGAAGCAGCTTCAGCAACAAAAGCAACGGCAAATGTCTGTTTTGTTGGGGAAAATGAATGATTTTTTGTGTGACTTGTTTACTTTCTTGTTGCATTTTTTTTGTTTGTAGATATTTATTTACATATGCATGTACGTTATGAACTTGTCTGTTTTCGGAAATTTTTGTTGTTGCTGCTGTTGTCGTAGTACTACTGCCACTTGAGTTTCGCTAGTACAAGAAATATAATGAAATTTCACGCTCGTATTTTATGTGCAGTTTCCACGAGAGAGAGAGAGAGAGAGAGAGTGAAAAAACCGGAAAACGTCTACATTTTTGTCGTACAAGAGCGAAAAAAGAGTGTTAGGCAGACATAAATTGAGCGAGTATTTTAAGAACAAGAGTATTTTTTAATTTCATCTCCAGCATCACAAATCGCCGCTACTGCTGCTACTATTCGGAAATTGATTGTATACTCGTTTAAAAATACTATGACTGTTCTAGCGCCTTAAAGTGGGCCCTTAAATATTAGTTGTTTATGCGCAGAATATTCTCGTTGTTGTTCTTGTTGATACTGTTACCCTTGCGGCAATGCAGCAGCCCGGAAACTATGCGAGTGCAATGAAAAGGCTACCGGCAAACAAGAATCGCAAGTTTTTTGCCGATCACCGAAATCGTTGGCAAGCCGATGCTTACTATTATTTTTTTGTTCTTTCTTTTTTAGAGTCTCTTTTGCTTTTTATTTAATCTTTTTTGTTTCGCTTTTACTCATACAGCAATCAATGAGCGAATGAATGCTGCACGAATGCCACAGCAAAACAATAGTAAAAACAACAACAAGAACAGCAAGTGCATGCAATAGCGACAACTATTACGAGACTATAACGACAAACGACTACGATGCTTTGGCCATTACGACCACCACTGTAACGCCACCAGTAATGGCAACGGCAACGGCAACGACCAGCTCAACGACCAGCTCAACGATGGCAACAACGACCGCGCCGACACACGACAACAACTGCACAAACAAACGCAATATTTGTACATCCATGTAGGCACGAAGGACTACGACAATGATGGCGTTGCAGCTATGAAAAAAATATTAAATGAGAAAAAACAGTGCAGACCTGTCTGCGAATTTCGAATTTCCTTTTATGCTTACAATAGTGTAGGTTTTTTTTTTTTTTTTTTTTTTTTTTTTTAACTGTTGTGCTGCTGTGCTACTGTAGCGGTACTTTGCTGACAGCCCCAGTAGCTAACTCCGGTTATGAGCAGGTCGTATGCAGAGTTTGTGTCAGTGGATATAATTGTCATATATGTGTGTCTTTTCAAGCATTTTAATAGCAATTTTTAAATTTTCTATATTAATTTTAAAGCTTCTTGAAGTTAAAAAGATGCTTCAACATAAGGTATTGGAAGCTAAAGCAAAAGTTGCTCATACGCCAGGGCATATGCAAAACCATATTCAATAAAAATCGCCATATTCTGCAATCAGTACCTACAGCATCCACAGGAGGTTGCATTAACCAAATAAGCGCACATTTCGTGTCATAATTTACTTCTTACTTAGATTCTTTAAGTTGCTGCGCGTACACTCACACACACACACACACACACACACACGTAAACGCAACCAGCAACAAACACCGTTAAATCGACCGGCTGGCTGGCTGTCTTATGGCAACGCACACACACAAATGCAGGCACAATGACCCGACATATTCGAACGTTGACTTATTTCTGTTCGATTGTCAACGTGCTGCGGCACAGCTTTTTATGATGATCATAATTATTTAGTAATTGTTGTTACTATTGCAATTTCCAGCCACCTATCTCGCTGCAACTGCAACTGCAGCAACATCGGCAATGGCATCAGCGTCGGCATATACTGCGCCACTCTACACACTCTACTTACATACATACATACATACAATTCATCGTCATTCATTTGCATTGAAACATCGTTCCGATTGCCGATGTCATAAACTCAAGTTGACGCTGCTGCTGCTGCTGCTGCTTTCCCATTTCCTGTCATTCTGCTATTTTCTGTATTGCACTTTGTAAGCATTTACAATATCCGCTCTTGACACGAGCACAAATTTTCGAATTAGCGACTCGGATGTATTAGGGCTTGTGCGCTCTTGACGGTACGCCGAGTGCTCACAATTGAGTATTGTCCTCGAAAATTGCTTCTCTATTGCCTTGCTCTGTTAAACGCCTAAAAGCATGCTCTTACTTTTCCGTCTTTTGCTCTCTTTAAATTAATTGCCTTTGGATTTTATAACAGCTACGCCGTGTGCAGCGTAGACACGAGAAATGCGGTGAATGTGTTGCGGTGCGTTTAATGCAAGCAGATCAAAAAAACGCACAGATATGTTGGCAAATGCAAACGTCCAACGTAGGCACGATTTTGCGATAATGCGTGCATTGTGACGTCAAAGTCGTTTGATTTTGCCCGCAATATCGTACGAGAAATTCAGCAATGAAGATGGAAATTCTCATTTCAGAAATACAAAAGCGAAGTGTTTTGTGGAATAAAAGCCATTGCCGCTACAAAGACAGGCGAAGTGCGGAAGAGGAATGGAACGAAGTTGTTACAAAAATGTTGGGGTTCCAAGTAGGTAAACAAATTTGAATTATTTTGTGTTGTTTATTGTAAACAATGTTGAATTCAAATTAAATAATATTTAATTTTTATATTTTATTTACTGAAAAGTAGTCGCCAAATATAGAACGTTTAATTTCTGCTTCCCGTGGTGGGTGATTATTTTTTCCGGAAGCTCCTAAGTTGCCGTTTGTATTCCTAAATTTTGAATTTTGTTCAAAATTATTGTGAAAATCGTCTTCCTTTTCCATATCAATTACAATGTTGCGTAGAAGGCAAACGGCTTTTACTATATGAACAGCATTCAGAACGATAGTTTCTATTGCTTTCACTCAAATTTTAAATGTGCCACTCGGTATAGCGCACTAGGGTGGGCATTTGATGATTTTTCTGTATCGAAAATATATACCCCTATTTTTTATTTTGAAACTGAAAAATATTTGGAAGTTGCTCAAAGTTTTCCATGTATTTTTATATGGGAAAATAAATTTTTTCGTAGAGATGGTAAAGAATTCAAAAGTCAATATTTTTCGATCGGAAAACTCTGGTTCTTCAAGAGGCTTTCAATAATAATGCCCAATTGTTTATTTAAACATTTTTTAATACTAAAAAATTTTTTTATTTATCCCGTCATTGCATTTTCTGGGCTTTTGGCGGATCTATAAAATGTAGTCACTATGAAAAAAATGGCTAAATAAATAACACTGGTCTACAAGGGTTTTGCGAATAAGACGGGACCTGGTGTTTCCGAACGGATTTTTCGTGCTGAACACGAATCTGGGGTCCAAAACTTCCCATCACGTCACGTTTTCGAGAAAAAAGGGGTTGAAACCCCTAAAAACAGCGTTTTTGGCCATTTTTGAAAAATTGTAGAGCTGAACCCTGACGTGCTACAAACTTTGTATATGTCAGAAATTAAAGGCTAAATCGTGCCCTTTCGAATGAGCCCTATGCCGAATTAATCGCATGCACCCTTAGATCAGGGGGTGTATTTGTGTCTAGGAGTCCAGGGAAAATATCCACCATATTCGACCCGTCATCTTAAATTTTTAAAATCTAACTGCAGATTCGTAATCAGCGACTTTTAATATAGTTAAAACCTTGGCATTATTAATTTTCTATGATCGTTTAAGATTAAATTCTTTCTGTGATCAATTTTTCCTGCACCCCTAAACACAAATACACCCCCTGCTTTAAGGGTGCACGCGATCAATTCGGCATAGGGCTCATTCGAAAGGGCACGGTTTAGCCTTTAATTTCTGATATATGCAAAATTTGTACCACGTCAGGGTTCAGCTCTATAATTTTTTCGAAAATGGCCAAAAACGCTGTTTTTAGGGGTTTCAACCCCTAACGTGACGTGATGGGACATTTTTGACCCCGGATTCGTGTTCAGCACGAAAAATCCGTTCAGAAACACCAGGTCCCGTCTTATTCGCAGAAAAAAAGTTGAAATTTGTAGACCAGTGTAATTGGGTATTATTACTGGGAATCTTTTGAATAAAAACAGAGTTTTCCGATCAAAAACTTATGGTTTTCGAGAATTCTATACCGATACCTCCCAAAGAATTGGGAAAATTTCACTTTTGAAAATAATCTTTTGACACCCTTTCAAAATGTTCGATGATTGGCACATATCTTTTGAATCGCTTCGCAAATGTCCTTGCAAGCCTCTTTAACTATAGAATCAACTGATGACTTCAATATCCTGAATGAGAAAACAATTTATCTAAATTTTTTTTTTTTTTCAGAGCAAGATGCTAAAAAGAAGTGGCGAAATTTGCGAGACCAGTTCAGTAAGGAATTGAAAAAAATTCCAAAAGGCAAATCGGGCGACACACAAGACCAAGCAACTATATATACTGGGAGGTGGCGGTATTTCAAAAGCCTGCTTTTCCTTAGAGATACAATTCTCCCAAGAGAAACAGCTAGAAATTTGTCGGTGGTGCTTGAAGATTCAACTACAGCAACTGAAGCCGATAATAATGTGGCAAATGCTGAAATAGTGGCAAAAAATACTAATGCTACTAAAACAGATAATGAAGTGTCAAATTCCGAAGTAAAGAACTCCGAACTAACTTTCGTTGAAACATGCCCTTCATTCAGGTCTTTGTCTGTTCGTCGAAAGAGAAAGGACAAACATCAAGATGGAAATGCCGTTGAGCTTAGGCTTTTAGATATCGAAACCAAACAGCTAGCTTTACTCGAAGCATCAGAAGATGAAAATTCACTCTTTTTGAGGTCGCTTCTTCCATTCATGAAAAAGTTGGATCCGATTCGTCAGCTTCGTGTAAGGTGTATGTACATTTCAAAATGTAAATGAACCACTGCAAAAATAAACTTTACAAAAAAAAAACTTTTACTATTTGTGTTTTAATTACCACAAAGTTAGAAAAGTAATGTCAATAAACTGTTTTCGAATAAAAATATTTTAACTGCCGCATACGAAGCCATTTCACGCCGAATAATAAGTTACAATAAGTATAATCGCGTTGTAATTGTACACTTACAGCATTCCACGCACGATTTTGCGGGTAGTACGTTGCTCGCACGCATCGCAAAATCGTGCCTGTGTTTACGCTGGACACAGTGTTAGTGTGTATTTACGGAAAGTTCTCCAAGCTCGTCATATACATACATACATACATACATACACACATAGATGTGAATAATGACGTCACAATATGTTGTTGCTTTTATTGTAGTTATATACATATGTACGTACTGAACATCCGAAATTGGCATGAATAAAATTTACCAGAGCTTTTTCGTGTCATTGTTCAGTAAGTTTACGGTATATAATATGACCGAAATAATAAATTCTTCATTGCACAAGTTTTTTTTTTTTTGTTTACAGTAGGAATATTACGAGAAAAAATAATGAGTAATTTTTAAGCAAAAGGCAAAACCGACTTTAATTCCCATATGAAAATTTCAGAGTACCAGAATTATAGAAATCGGTTAACGAGGTCCAAAGTTATGCGGTAACATAAATAAAAAAAAAAAAAACAAAAAAAATACTCCGACGAATTGGCCAGACACTCTTTTTTAACATTTCATATAACTTGTCTATTAGTTAACTAAAATCGACTCTTAAAACATGTGGCAACCCTCTTCAAAAATATTTTGAAACTAAAATAATCTTTCGTTTGACATTGTGATACATATCTCTGATTAACTGATGAATAATGTTGAATGTGAAAAAAAAAACATCGCCACTCTCCTATATGTAAAGCCCAGAAATATCAATTCACCGTGGGAGGCTCTGAAAGCACCGATATGCCATTGAATTGGTCGTCTACACTATGCCAGTTTTACTGTCCAGTTTTATTAGACCTACCTTCCAGTTACTGGGATTTTTTACTGGAATCAGTTAACGCCAGTGCACAGTGGGCCAGAAGACTGAAAACGTGGTCGAAAATTAATATTATTTAAAATTTTTAAATAATAAACTTAAATAATCTAGATACTTTGAAGTATGCGAAAACAAAATTTTATGATATTTAAAACATTTTAATATGTTCGTAAGAAATTCAGAATCCATAAAATATGAAAAGCGTTTGTAAGCCCTAATTATGAAAAAAACTACATTTATTTAAATTATCAATAAGTCTTAAAAATATTACTGTAACAACCCACCCTGGAACCCTGCAGAACCCACTCAACAAATCTACTTTTTCACTCTCTTGCAATTGCATGTTTTTATTGTGTTTCTTCAAATGGAAATTATTAAGTTATCTGCACGAATCATCAGATTTCCTTTAAAATGGCATTCAACCGTAAACGCATATGTTTGCATATTTTGTAAAAAATGCCTGTTTTTACTTATTTTTTTGCGCATATTTTAAAATAGCTGCATGTTGTTTATGCATATTTTTACTTTGATTGATTTAAAACCATTTTAATTTAGTACGGCATTTTTTGACAAAAAAAAACAGCTATAATTGTTTCTAAAAAAATCATCTGAACTGTATTAAACTGACAATGTTTCTATTTACACAAGATTGTAACGATGATGAAGAATACATAAGAATTAATAAAATTATTAAAAATATTAAAAAAAATAGTTAAAATTAAAAAAAAAATAAAAATAAAAAGTTTTGAAAATTAAAAAAAAAAATGCGGGGTGCTTTATTCCTGGAACCTGCTCGTGGCAGGCCCTGGATACTGCAAGTGTGGCAATTTGTAGGCTAATAACAGGAAAAATTTTGAAAGACTTCTTAAAATACATTTATCAATTTATCAAATTAAATCATTTGTTAAAAAAATACATAGAAGCCAATCCTTAATTTTCTTTTAAATACAATTCATATTTTTATTTCTTTAAATAATATAAATTAAATAATCAAAATAATATCTTACTTCTTATTTTATAGATAAGCAACATGTTAATGTTGAAACCTGTTCAAACGCCTTCCTAATGATACCCATTTTGTGATATTAAATAAGCTTACATTTATTCAATACACGTAATTGTTACGCCACTCCAAAATATCTATTTTTTCTCCTCTTCAAACGGTTTTTTTTTTCACCACAGAAATTGAAGTACTTATGCTGTGGAGTATTTGAATAATTGTAAATTTTAATATACCTGGCAACCCTGCTTTAAAAATTTTTTCCAGAAGCTTTCTACAGAAAATATCAAAGAGAATGGGAAAAAGTAGAACAAATCCGTCGGATTGTTATTACGTTTAAAGCTGTTAAAATTTCAAAAAATCCAAAAAACGAGTCTTCCCGGATTTTTTTTACAATTTCTGGACACCTGCTATTTGTATACCTTGGATAATAAGCTATACCACAAAAATATTTTTATTTATTTATTTCACATGCAAAAAATGTTGGCCACTTTTTCAGTGTTCTGGCCTACTGTGCCGTGCCTGTTTACAACAAAAAACCCATGCAAATTTTCAGTGCTGAAAATGGTTTTATAGGTGAAAGGCAAATAGAGTGTGTGCGAAAAATTCCATATATATTTTAATCCTTCCATGCCTTTTTACGATATATCGAAACCTCTTTCTATTTTTTTTTTTAATTTGACTGTTATTTTGGAAGACGGTTTCAAAGCCTCTAATATCCAAAGTTTCATAAATTTCCAGGAAATATTTATCTCCATCTCTCTTACTAGCTACCAAAGAATCACCTCGTCAATTTATGATGGACGAACATACGGAAATAATTGTAATAGCCGCCTACGATGCGTTACCTCTCTGCTTGCTATACATATTTGAGTTCCGTCCGCTTAACGAAAAATTTTGTATGTATGTATGTATGTGAGAGCAGCAACAAAGTTAGCAAGTAGCGATAAACGATGGTGAGTTTGGTTTCACCTCATTGATCTCGTTAGTTTCGCCACTTGTTAACTGTTGGCGTATCGATGGCGGCTAAAGTTTGATTCATCAGTCGTTTATTCAGTCCAGTCTTACTTGCGGGAAATATTTTCTACACAAATTGTTTTCAGCCAAATAGGTGAACTACATATGTACATTAGGGTGGTCAAAAAACAGTAAAGTCGGAATTGTAATGCTCTCACCCACTAGGATTGTTCTATATCGAAAAAAGTAGACCCCTATTTTTGTATTTTGAAATCAAAAAATATTTAGAGGTCGCTCAAAGTTCTGCATGTATGTTTATATGGGAAAAATACAATTTTTCATAGAAATGGTATAGAATTCTTGAGAATCAATATTTTTCGATCGGAAAACTCTGGTTCTCTTCAGGAGACTTTCAATTATAATACCCAATTGTTTATTTAACAATTTTTTAATACTAACCATTTTTTTATTGGTCGCCCCATTGCATTTTTCGGGGTATTTGTGGGTTTTTGGCGGACCTATAAATTATAGTGGCGATGAAAAAATGGTTAAATAAAGAATTGGGTATTATTATTGGGAATCTCCTGCAGATAAACAGAGTTTTCTGGTAGAAAAATATTGATTTTTAACTATTCTATACCATTTCTACGAAAAGTTGTTTTTTGCCCACATAAAATACTTGGAAATCTTTGGGCGCTTTGAGCTACCTCTAAATATTTTTTGATTTCAAAATTAATTTACTTTTTCACATGCGTTTTTTGGACCACCCTAATGTACATACGTATTTCTGAATCTAAACTACAACTTACTAGTTCATATTTGTGGAAAAGGATCAACTGATACAACTATACACTTTTTCTCCTCAACATGCCCCATATACATACATATATGTATGAACGTAACTTCCCTCAAAAATGTTGAGCTTTCAAAACTCTTAACTGCTCCAAATGAGCAAATTTAATATATATGTACATACATATGTATTTAAAAAAATATATAAAAAGAACCAAGTTTATTGCAAAAAGTTTGTAGCTGCCCTGAAACTGGATCAACATCGAGGTGTTGACAGGACTTGCGCGCATTTGGACAGCATCGCCGGCTGCAGGCAAGCAGCTCAGCAGCAAAGCGCGCCAAAGCAGGCAACTAACTAGTAGCTGGAAGTTGAGGCGATACACGAGACAAAATTGACAATGCTGTCAAATATCCTTTTAATTTAAATTCTTTATCTTTTGCTGTAAGGCAGCAGTGAACTCTATTCTAGGACAAAAGTAAAAAAACGCACACACACACACATACACACATACATACATACGTACATACCCATAAACAATTTCAGGAATCTTGCAAAAGAATTTCTATTTTAGAATTTGTCATGTCTTCGCCTTCGTCACCGTCATCGCCGTCGCCGTCGCCGTCGCAGTTGCACTCATCGCCTTTCAACACTTTACTTTATATAAAATATCACACCAAACCCAGAAAGTGAAAAATGCTAAGCATCGTTGCATTGAGCAGGAGGAACGCCAGATACTGAATTCAATCCTTTCAAAAGATGGATCGGTGGAAAAGTGGGGGCTGGAGAGGCGACGGTCAGTGGTGCAAGTCGCATGGAAATACACTGCACTGAGCAACCGAACACCCAGAGCAATCCTTTTGCTTAAAGTTGTCGCTTATCTTAAGCCGGAATGACAGATGCAAAAAAGGAGTATTAGTAAAAGAAAAAAATAAAATGAAAAATATTTTGTAAAATAAGAAAAACAAGTTGTGGAATGAAATGACATAAATGCGAACCGAACCAAACGAAACGAATGAATAAACGCAATGAAAACTTGACGTGGTTGGGGTCATCGCGACCAACATACAGTAGCTGTCCAGTTATGGTTGGAGGATGGTGTGAGGACTGAGCCGACTACGGGCAAAATAGAAAAGGACATGCTCATCGCATTCCATGGCACGAAAGCTGACAGTGAATGATTTGACCATGCTTA